TCGACGAGAAAATTGCTTACTTTCTCAACAGTACTGACACCCCTCTCCGCGTACAACGCATTTGTAACACTGGCGCAACACGTACGAATTTCCTCGCATGAAACGTGAGGTCTGTCCACACATCCTTGAACATCTTTAATAGCATTCATGAGTGCTATATAAACACCCATAAAACGATGTTTAACGTTGGCATCAACCATTATTATGTTGGTCATATATGATTTGGATAACTCATTAACGCTGTTCAATAAAGTTTTCATGCACCCACTACTGAAGGAACTACTATTGTTAATTTGATTCTGGACATCTTTGAGACTTTTTTCGATTTGGATTTGGTACTCTTCGGCCATGTAGGTAATATTTCCCAATAATTGGCCATGTTGTGGATGAATAATCTGGATACATTCGTCGCTTCTCTCTTGCCCCGATTTTTGACACTGCTCGCCGAAAGTGCACTGTAATCAATCACATTTTAGCAGGAAGCAAAAACAAAATCATTAAAAATTACGTGAATGCTGAGGATTGTAATGGTAATTGCAAATAGTTGCATCTTGAAAATCGGAGGCAGTACTAACAGAGAGAAAGCCTTGACATCTTTTTGTCTAGATTGTACCACCACTCCCGGTTGCGTTATCGATAGGTATGTGAATACCCGCGTTTTCGCGATTGGGTGTATATATTTCCTAGTTTTGTTTAGGATTTTCCGTCGTAAATCCTTTTTAGAACATTTTTTAAGAATTAAAAAAATGTGCTATTGTTTGCGTTTTGTCCATCCGTCCGGACCCACTTCTACCGTTTTGAACTACTTCTAGGGGAATGGTCCTAGAGTCCTGGAATTTTGTTCAGTACGTAGCCTATACCTTGAAGGTGTGCCAGACGTACATCAAATTTTGCTGTCTAAACGCCCCCCCCCCCACGAATTATTTCCTGAGATGTTGTTTTTGAAAGTAAAACGCGCATACCTTATTTGCTACAAGGAAAAATCCCAATATTGACTCAAATTAATGATTTGGAAGACACCTAAATATACCTTTTATAAAGTACGCACAATTGGACCAGATGTTTCTTACTTAATGCGTCTTTTCTAAATAGAATATCACTCAAATGCAAACAAAACTAAAAGGAAAACAACACTATGGCACAAATTCAAATAAAATCAAGAGGAGTACCTGGATGCCCAACGTGCTTGGCAACCACGCGGACTCTATCCGGTTACCTTACCTAAAAAGTGCGTGGTCCCGGTGTCAAAGGGACACATATGACTAGTTAGACAGTGCAAATACAAACATACTTCAGGCGGGAGAATTGGAGATTCAGAATCCCACATCGCCGCGGATCAGCTCCACACATTGTAAGGGTGGCAATTTGCCGTGGAACCTAGGAAAATGGTAGAAAAAGGAAACTAGCAACGAGATGGAGACTCTGCCCCGTTCTTGCTTGTTAAACGAGAGGACGGAGGTGATTTTGGTAGGACTAATCCCTTCCAATGCGTTTTTTTCCGAAACAAAGTTGTAGCAAATTTTATGATTTTGATGATGATTTCGATAAGAGATTTTTTCCTACGACGGACCGTTTTTGAGATATATGCGAAAAACGCCAACCCCGTACTTACAACCCCCTCCCTTCGCGTCGGCGCCACCGAAATCGCTTGGGACTTTATTACACAATCATCAGGGGACATTCCTCCACACTTTACCGAAATAATTTCCTACACGAATTTTTATTTGCCGTTTTTTGGCACAAAATGACTGGATATTATCATTGAACGTGTATATACAATGATATTATAGATAAATCAGTTTACCGAATGCGAACAACCAAACTCTCGTACATGCATCCATCGGCTGTAAAGGTAAACAAATAGAGTTTCAAAAAATAACTTAATTTCTAAAATAGATCCAAAACATGAAAATCAATCAATATGCGTTTAAGATGACATTTTTTGATAAAATTACCAGACTTTTTGTCAAACAATTGTATGGAAAGTGCTACCTTTTTCAGGATCTTTACTATGCGTTTCCAATTTCCATGGGGTTTAGTCCATAATTGGGTAATATCATTGACATTCGCGATTTACTGTCACGCAAGAATTGATGCTGTTGTTCATACGTAGGACCATTGTATATACAGTATATACAATTACAGTACATACAGTAAGTATACAGTGTGTCCCAGATCGCGTGGGATTGCATGGGTAACTTTGTTATTATTAAAGATAGAGAATTGGTTAAATGGGCAATGTTTTGCAGTTTTAGATGCTTATTTAAAATTTCCTTATGGAAATTCAAAATGTCGCATAGGTTCGACGTAAATTCAAAAAAACTAAAATTGGTCATTTCCTTGAATGTCTTATATCATCGAAAGTATAAGAGATATAAAAAAAGTTTTATATAAAAGTGACTGTCTTTGATACGCTTAATTTAGAATTGATGTAAAAAAAATTCAAGATGGCCACTTTTGAGGAACATTTACCAACTTCCTAAAGTTAAATGGGCGCCATATTGGATTTTTAGATTACTTGATAGATTTTTTAATTCTCTTTTCAACGAGCCATCATAACATAAGATTGAAAATAAGATACCAGTTATATCAACGGTTTTTATATTTTAATCAAGTAGGCTGTGATGAATTAAAAAAAACAAAACAAAATCTATTCGAGCCAACAAAACAATGAAAATAATTACAGCAGATGTTTAAAAAATCAGGGATGCACTCATGAGAGGGGGGTTTGGGCATTACAACTCCCTCCAAAATTTTATATAAGTAGACCTAGAAAAATTTTGATTTTTATATCATCACTTATTGACTATCTTATTATCCATACTTAGATACCTACAAATGGTGGTATAACTACAAACTATTCCCTCAAAAAAATGTCATGTCATTATCCAGTTAAACACATTTCAAGACACTTCGCTTTATTTTACACATGTAGGTATTACCATTGATGCATTATCCCAGGTCACATTTTGTAGGTCAGTAGGTGGTTTATCCGCAAGAATATCGAAACTAACAGTTTGACCAGTCCGAGTATATGGACAGATGAATCTTATTTTTCTAACTGCGGAGTGTTCAAATCGACATAATGAACACTATACTTGTCACAGGAAAACGTACATGTTGTAGTTTCACGCCGAAATCAAATAATATTTTTTTTAATTAATGTATTTTATGGCATAATGGGAAGTCACGTAATTGGCCGGTAATCTTCGTTGGATCTGAAACTGCTCACCATTATTTACAAATTCTCCAATAAACTTCCTTAAAGGATTTTTCTCGACAACGTATGTTTCGAACAAAGGGTTGGTTTATTCTACCTACCAACAAGCTGTCTGCACTGGTCACAATTCACGAATTATGTACAGTACATTAAATTATAAAAGTAAGTACTTAATTAAAAAATAAAAGTAAAGTGGAAGTAGCTACCACTACAATAATAATAATAATTATCAATGGCAACACGTTGCCTAAACTAAACTGTCTTGAAGTGTCTGTTTCACTAATAATGGCCAGTATTTTAAACATTTGGTGTGATTATTTTCATTGTTTTGTTGCCTCGAATAGATTTTGTTTTGTTTTTTTTTATTCGTCACAGACTACTTGATTAAAATACAAAAACCGTTAATATAACTGGTATCTTATTTTCAATCTTATGTTATAATAGCTCGTTGAAAAGAGAATTTAAAAACCTATCAAGTAATCTAAAAATCCAATATGGCGCCCATTTAACTTTAGGAAGTTGGTAAATGTTCCTCAAAAGTGGCCATCTTGAATTTTTTTTTGACATCAATTCTAAATTAAGCGTATCAAAGACAGTCACTTTTATATAAAACTTTTTTTTATATCTCTTATACTTTCGATGATATAAGACATTCAAGGAAATGACCAATTTTAGTTTTTTTGAATTTACGTCGAACCTATGCGACATTTTGAATTTCCATAAGGAAATTTTAAATAAGCATCTAAAACTGCAAAACATTGCCCATTTAACCAATTCTCTATCTTTAATAATAACAAAGTTACCCATGCAATCCCACGCGATGTGGACACACTGTATGCAATTGTTCTACCTATGAACAATCGCATCAATTCTTGAGTGACAGCACAGGTGACAGTAAATCGCGAATGTCAATATTACCCAATTATGGGTTATTAAGGATCATTATGCAAAAAATTTCGTGTACATCACTATTTGAAAGTGTCTTTTTTCCCTTATTTGCTTTTGCCACAGTTGATTTTCGTTATGGACCCATCAACTTTGGCTACATTTAGCTTGCGACATATTAGACCAACTTCTTCTAATACGGTCCAGAAGATGATTTTAACAAATGGTTGCACGGTTGCATCATTATTCACAATTCTTGTATTATTTCATCACTTATCACAAACGCTATCTCTTCTATTTCTCTAAAACTGAATTTTAAATTTGGTTTGCATTCTTCTTGAACACTTGATACCGTTCAATAATTGTTTCTTCCCTTCTCGTTTATGTCATTATGTGCAACATAATTAAATAACCGTAGGAGGATTATTAGAATTTATTACACTATAACTTTCCCACTCTTTTGGGTACAAATTAACAGTATTATCCATGCATTTGAATTTTTTGTTTCTCTCCTTGCGTTCACCTTGAACTTTTTTTAATTTATTGTTTTGAACCCTTGTATGCAATGGTTCTACCTATGAACAATCGCATCAATTCTTGAGTGACAGCACAGGTGACAGTAAATCGCGAATGTCAATATTACCCAATTATGGGTTATTAAGGATCATTATGCAAAAAATGTGGTTGCGCAATATGGTACAACCTACAAGGAAAGTAATATAATAACGGCATTCAAGATAATAAATGATGACCTATACGATAGTGAATCCCAAAATAACGCACCGAATCTTGAGAATAAAAAAGATTTACATTGGAAAATCCGCATAATTCTTGAACTTTGCGAAAAATGGGGTATTCACTATTATCTGAAGTAACACGTGGTATCAGCATATATAAATAGATTCTTGATATATTTATGTTTTATACTCTCGTTTTAACAAGCGAACCAGTCACAAAATGCAACTACTCGCACTTATAATTGGCATCTTCAGCCTTCACGTAATTTTTTATTAATTCACTTATTGTGATTTTTACAGTGTGCTTTCGGCGCGCAGTGCAACAAACCGGAAAAAGAGATCATGGCCCAATGTATGCAGATTATTCATCCGGAACACGGCGAATTACTTGGAAATACAGTCAACCTCCCTCAACAATACTTGCAACAAATATATACCCTTCTCAAAGACGTTCGGAGGGAAATTACTAATGAACAATTTACTACCACTACTAAAAAGCATTGCCTCGACAACTTACGTACTCGTGTTGATGACATATCCAAATCCTACATGACCAGAGTAATTACTGTTGACAGTAATGTTAAACAACGTTTTATTGACACTAACACAGCGTTGGGAAGTGCCTTGGTAAAAGCATCGCAGTGCGAGGAGAACCATGATGTTTCGTGTGAGGTAATACAGTCCTGTTGTACCAACGTTAAGAATGAACTGTATGCTCAAAAAAGTATCAGTTCTGGAAGCGTAACCAACTTCTTAGTGGAGTTTACCACTCAGTTTAGTAAAGAATGTGATTCGATTTTAAGTAGCATTCGTAATCTACAAGCAGATTTAAATAGTTGCAAGACGGGGGTTACCGAACGGAAAAAATCTCGAATCGAAGCTGTTATGCTGGATAAGACTCTCAAATCTCAAGCTAGTACATCTGTCATGACAAGTAATTTACTGGTTAGTTGTAGTATTTTGTTTGTAGTGTTTCGAGCTATGTATTAAATATTTAAATAAATATAAATTATTAACATGTGACCATAAGTTTTCATTAACTTTATCTTTAGTCTGCAATTGTGCACTGAATTGCCGTTACAAATGGTAATCTTCCATTTTTTTCGATGTTCTTCATTGCCAATTCTATACTTCATGTGAAAATTCAGCCTAAAGGCCTAAATAGTTATCGCTTGTGTCTGGGACTTGGAAAGTTTGTTCAATAAAGATACTATACCAGCCATGATGAATGATGAATATAAAATCAAAGCAGAGCGTATTGTTTGGATAGAATAGAAGAAGAATCAAAAGATCGTTTCCCTTGCAAAATTTTTCACTTGATATACCTACTTACGATAATCTGGGAAATAATCATCGAAATCTTGACACCTTTTACTTTTCCTATTATTAATTCCGAGATTTATTGGGCCTGGATGGGCACATCAAACGTCTTCTTAGATTTGATGAATTTCGTGAATTCTAAGATGGATAAATAAGCAATTGTTAAAGGTCTTGAAGGCGAAATAGGCCACTGGGGAGTAGTAAGACGAGTGAAATTGCTAATACTGTTTAAATATTTAACCTTTTGACTCGTAATTTTTTTAATAAGAAAGGGAAGGGGAGGAGATTGATCTACCTCCCTAATTTAATTAAATTCCTAAGCAAGGTTAAATGGTTGGACACTAGTAAAATTTTTAGGTTTATGTCAAAGTATCCAGTACCTATGCAGTATCAAGTTATAAGTGAAATATAGTTGAGGCTCGAGTTGGGGTTTCATTGTGATGAGTGATCATAACACCATAGTCAATTCTTAAAGTTAATAGTTCAGTGCAATAAAACATTGAACGCTGCATCAAATCTGTATTTTCGTTTGTTTTTGGCATTTTCTATGAAGACAGTGCTATATGCAAGATTTCGACGTCCCCATTTTTTGTCCATTTTGACTCTGGAGGAGGGGCTGGTACTTCCCCAAAGATTGTGATATCCATAGGTTAAAACTTTGAGGAAGAGAGGTGGCAAATACTTGACCTTCAAAAATATGGAAGTATTGAAAAAGATGAAATTTTACTAAAAATTGTCTACTTAACTGAAAAAATTGACACGCAAATGCATAACCTACTTTAAACATGGATATCACAATCATTGATAAAAAACCAGTGCTTCTGTGTCAAACCCGATAGAAACTGAAAAATTGGGGCCAGAGATTTGATAAGTAGGTATAACAATAACTAAATTGTACATTGGTACAATGATGTTTGTTTGGAGTGTAGCCTATTTGACTTCCGGTTAAATTCAAAACATAATACCGTCGCCTCCTGGTATAAGTGCAAGTCAAGAGGCCACTTGGCGCATTGGATTACGAACAATCCTTGACTCCACTCCGAGATAGTTATAGATAGGAGAGTTTCTGTGATTACTAATCCGCAAGGTTTTTTGGACCACCCTATTGCGCACCTGATTTGCTTTTATTATTTTATTGCTGGCATGCTTGTGCTTTTTGTGACTTTTGTGACTTTTACCCGTTGCAGCAGTAAGAGAGGTAGGCGAATGGTTACTTTAGTAATGTGAAAATTCGTATACTTAACAAATTTCATTCTCAGAAAGTTGCGGACGCATTTAATATTAACCTGCAAACAGTAACTTCTATTTCACAAATTTCTAAATAGGGCAAACCTCTACAAAGTCTTAAAAAACAAGGCAATGTAAGAAACCCGTTAGGGATGTTGATGGTTTCACACAAGCAACGATTCGGAACTCCATCTACGACATGCTCCAACACGTAAATTAAAACACACGTTGAATGGTTGAGTGTAGAAGGCGTCCATGTCAACTGCGCAAAGATTATATTATATTAAATTAATATTTGTGTGGATATAATATTCCAGTCATATTAGATATTATGTACACCTAATTCCCTAGTAGGTACTAGTACCCATTGACAACATAAAAAATTAACACTCCTGCATGCTACGCTACGGGGGTCATATTGGAAAATGGCGGCCGATTTTCACGAGCTTTAGAATTTTTTGAGACTGATTGTAGAAAGATTCGGCTCAGAAAATTCGCCCCGAAAGTTTCTCCACCCGAATATTCATTCATCTCGAAAAATTCTCCTTCAGATCATTCGCCCCTAGAAGATTCATTATTGGCTTCTGGTATTCGCTCATGTAGAATTCGTTTTCATCGAAAAACTCTCCCAGGGACCCGCTTCATGGAAAATGTACGTTACGGAAAACCATGCCCTTAACAGATTTTGTCACTCCCGTGCGTAGCCTGTGTTAAATGGTTGTGTTCATTCAAAGGGTTAAGAAAAGTTGAATGTGGGGTAAATGGTAGAATAAAGCTGCTTTAAAAATCAAGCTTGTCAGGTAACAGTTTACTTAATTTATTTTAATTTTATATGCATGACTAAAGACAAAGTAGTAAAAATAACTAATAATCCATTGGCGACCACGTTTAGACTACCACTGGACTTGTGAATTAGACTAAGAAGTCCGTGCGACCTTAGGGGTGCTTTTCGGTTAGTAACCCCCGCCTTGCAATCATTTACATCTTCCTGTAGCTTATAAATGGTATTTAAAATCGTTTCACATTCACTGCTGTATTGTGTTTTAAACTCGACAAGAAAATTGCTTATTTTCTCAACACTGACACCCCTCTCCGCGTACAACGCATTTTCAACACTGGAGCAACACGTACGAATTTCCTCGCATGAAACGTGAGGTCTGTCCACACATCCTTGAACATCTTTAATAGCATTCATGAGTGCTATATAAACACCCATAAAACGATGTTTAACGTTGGCATCAACCATTATTATTTTGGTCATATAGGATTTGGATAACTCATTAACGCTGTTCAATAAAGTTTTCATGCACCCACTACTGACGGAACTACTATTGTTAATTAGATTCTGGACATCTTTGAGACTTTTTTCGATTTGGTTTTGGTACTCTTCAGCCATGTAGGTAATATTTCCCAATAATTTGCCATGTTGTGGATGAATAATCTGGATACATTCGTCGGTGCTCTCTTGCGACGATTTTTGACACTGCTCGCCGAAAGCGCACTGTAACAAAAAATTTTAGCAGGCAGCAAAAACAAAATCATTAAAAATTACGTGAATGCTGAGGATTGCAATGGTAATTGCGAATAGTTGCATCTTGAAAATTGGAGGCGGTACTAAGAGAGAGAAAGCCTTGACATCTTTTTATCTAGATTGTACCACCACTCCCGGTTGTGTTATCGATAGGTATGTGAATACCCGCGTTTTCGCGATTGGGTGCATAAAATACAAGTTTTGTTTTGGATTTTCCGTCGTTAATCTTTTTTATAGTAACGGCTGCTTACTATCACGTGTGGCGTCCTTACACATTTCAACATAATTTGCAATAACATATGTAAAAAACCACCGTAACGGACTAATTTGAATTTCACACATTGATCTCATCTAACCCAAATACACTTATAACTTTATTGTCGTTATATGAACTTTACTACACCGAAACTGCTTTTTATTCGAAATATTGCATCAGGTCAGTTGATATGATATATTTGGGTGAGAGTGGTTATCAGTATCAGTATAACCACTCTCTTTCTCTCAAGAAGTGCAAAAGCCTAACCATAAACATTGAAGATATGTTTAAGAATACTGTTAGGTTGACCACAGTCCCTTGGAACCATGGCCTACATGGCGAGTCACGTAACTCGTTCGTTAAAAGTTTTTAAACTTGCAGTTGAAATAGAAACTTGAAATTTGGTTCACCGTCATAATCGTCTATTGCGAAATAAGATAATTTCCAGATGGTGTCGCTTCCGTAAATACCGGAAGTTGACGCCATCTTGTTTCTTTAAATAGAAACATACCACTTCTATTTGTTTCCAAATGGACCATTTTATTCGGAATTAACGCAATTAAAATTTGCGCACCTATCTGTCATAGTTTGTAATTATTGCGATTTATATGAAAAAATTAGCGCTAAGATTTGTTATTTTAAAGGTGGGTTGGTCCGATAGTTAAGGGCTAAGTGAATTATAAAAGTTAATGAGAGAGACGAAATTCAGTGGCAATTTTCTACCGCAAAAACTGGCAGCGCCGGAATAAATTTACTAAGAAAACGTACTTCAGCTTCATTGTCGACATTGTAAGGACTCCCATTGGTAAATGGACAATCGAATAATCCCGCGTTTCATTTTACACACTCCAGCCATGGTGCCTTTACGGGTCAGTTTTACATTTGAAATTCTACAACGAAGATTTTCCGCCAAATGTGATTCTTCTGAAATTTACATTTTAGCACCAGGGTCCAAAACGACTACGTGAAGTCAACCAGATAACCGACCTGCAGAAATTAGAAACGAGCCGTTGAAAGCTCCACCCGCCTGAGACCAACGACTTGTGGCGATTGAAACAGTAATAAAGGTACATACGTATTATTTTTTTTTACGTTCCGCATGCGAACTATAAGCGTTTCATCTTTAACGCATTTATATTTGTGCGTCAACATAAACTTCTCTATAAACTGTTAAATTATTTAATTTGTATTATATATATATATAGGGTTATTTAGCTATAGGGCTATTTTAGTAGTACGTTCCTTCTCCTTTTAACTTGTTTATAATAAATTGCGTAACGCCAAGGTTTAAATAAATAAATAATTATTATAACCTCCATTATCTGATCATGTACGAGTATGTCACTTTCAAAGAGTATAAAAACCAGGTGTCAAATTCTTGACAGAATAGCTTCCTAGCTGAAACCAAAAATTGCCAACATATGTACGCACTTACAGACGGGAAAATATTATTTTTTAAAAGTTGCTTAAAATGATCTAAAACGTCAACATTTGATGAAATTTCGCCTAGCTCATGCTATGAAGAGAAAACCGTCAATTCGTGGAATTGTATGCAACCAATATTACACGATTTCAGGATACGTCAAACATTTCTTGAACTGTTATCGAACATACCATTCCAATTTATTCGTTGTGAAAAATCGCAATTTGACACTAATAAAAAATACTCACTAATGGGCAACTTAAATTTGACATTAAGCGACCATTTTTATAGCATAGATTATTTCAAACAAATTCGCGTAGAGTTGATTACCTGTTTTCATCTATTCCCCATGATGACATAAATAAGAAAGTTGGATGTTGCACATGAGCAACACTATTTTTTGCGCATGCATTTTGTTAGCTTTTATTAAAAGGACCTACCATCTAAATTTCGTTAAAATTGTTCCATAAATAAGAAAGTTGCATTTCTGCGCATGCGCAACACGATTTTTGCGCATGCATTTTGTTTGCTTTTATTAGAGGGACCTACCATCCAATTTTCGTTAAAATTGCTCCATAAATAAGAAAGTTGGATGTTGCACATGCGCAACTCGATTGTTTGCGCATGCATTTTGTTTTCTTTTATTAGGAGGACCTACCATCCAAATTTCGTTTTAATTGTTCCATAAATAAGAAAATTGCATTTCTGCGCATGCGCAAAACGATTTTTGCGCATGAATTTTGTTTGCTTTTATTAAAGGGACTTACCATAGAAATTTCGTTTAAATTGCTTCAGAAACAAGATCGTTGCATTTTGCACATATGCAACACAATTTTTTGACAGGAAAATAAGGTCTTCCAAATAATAGAATAAAAATTTTAGGTTGCTATTTGAAAAAAAAAGTTCGATGCCGTTACGGCGCTCCAAAATTTTTTTTCAAAAATCCGGCCGGTTATTTTTCTGTTCGGTATGCCTAAAACATATATACAAAATTTCAACAAAATCCGTCGAGCCGTTTTCTCAGAAAATTGCCAACAAACGTACGTACGTACGTACGTACGTTCATACGTACGTACGTACGTACATACAGACGGAAAAAAGTTTTATTCTTTAAAAGTTGCTTAAAATGGTCTAAAACGTCGACATTTGATGAAATTTTGAAATGTACAAAAAACGGCTATCGCAATAGCTACCTAGCACATGCTAGGAAGCTAAAAATTGAAATATGATAAGTAGGCGATAAACAGTCGTTATAAAAAAACGTCAAATGCTTTTACCTTTAGTCTTGCGTTAGTCCACTGAACCACATCGTAATGCGATTTTTTGCAGTTTTTATTGGCATTCTAATTGTTCACGTAATTATTCATCAGTTTGCTTTGCTAATTACAAACATGTATTTTTTTACAGTGTACCTTCGGTAGGCAGTGCCAGCAACGGATTTCAGAAACCCTCGACAATTGCATGAAAATTATATATCCGGCACATAGCGAATTATTCAGAAATACGCCCTACATGCCACAACTGTGTTTCAAAGGTAAACGAACTCCTCCGCAAGTAGTACGTGAGCAACTTAATGAACGACGTAACTCTAACCAACAGAGTGTTAAGTACTTACTGGATCGTCTTGATGATATATCGAGAGATCATACGAGGAAAATAACAAGCGTTGATAGCAGCGTTCAAGAGCGGTTTATTGGCGTTCTTACGCCCTTTAAAAATGTTGTACTAAGAGTGCAAAAATGCGTGGAGAAACCTAACTCCTCGTGCGAGGAAATTCAGATGTGTTGCTCCGACGTGAAACGTAAAGAGGATGCTCAAAGTAGTGTCAGTTTGCCGAACCTCAAGAGTTTGTTCATCGAACGTAACACTGAGTTTGATAAAATATGCAAGTCGACTATGAACAGTATTCGCGATCTACAAAGAGATCTAAATTCTACGTTTGGTTTTATATAATTGCTGTAATTTTGGATTGTTTTTATGTTAGATACTGTGAAAATTGTACCCTGGATCTTATCTTGATACAACCATACTCTAAATCAAAGATATTGAATAATATTGACAAGCTTTTTAATTTGTTTATAGAATACAACTACTTCAATTATTTTATAACATTCACTCCTTGATACTTTATACAAAGTTTGTACAGAACACTTTTCAACACCTTCGCTCAAACTTTGCACAACAATGTTCATCACTTTCAGTTCATTAACACATCCCTAAACCGTTTAAATTTAATTGGCAATAATGGCTTAGTAAGTATGTCGCGGCTATTTGATATTCGGTGGGACAATGTATCAAATCAAATACACCTTCACTTAATTTTTCACAAATGAAATAATACCGCACATCAATGTGTTTGCTGCGCTGATTAAACTTCCCATTTTTTATTAGTGCGATTGTGCTCGTGTTATCAATTTGAAATTTAATTTTTAAATTTTCGCCTATCAACTCTTCAATCAAGGCTTTCAAAAATAAAACTTCCTTCAGAGCTTCAGCTGCACTTATGAATTCAGCTTCCATAGATGAGAGTGCTACGATGGGTTGCCGTCTTGAACACCAGCTTATTGGTGTTCCATTAAGGAAACATACATATCCAGTAGTACTACGTCTACTTTCTAGATCATTAGCATAATCGCTATCCGTGTACACTACCATCTCATTCAAATTTCCATTCTTTTTGAAGAACAAACCTAAATGTTTGGTTCCTTTCAAATATTTTATTGTACGTTTTACATTTTTTACATCCGAGTCTGATGGATTTTCCAGGTATCGAGATTCCTTTCCAACAGCAAAACTGATGTCCGGACGTGTTTTTGAACTGAGGTAGAGCAGGCTTCCTACTGCTTCACGATATGGGAAAATACCTTTTAAATTTCGATCAGTCTCATCTTTTGTCATGATTGGTATTTCCAAATCCTTAGCATTAGTCAAACCAAATTTTTCTGCTACTTGTTCGCAGAACAAAGACTGTGATAAACGAATTCCATTCGTTTCTTGTGAAATTTCCATTCCTATGAATGTTCCTGCTGAATGATCTACTGTAATTTCGAACATCTTTTTGATATTGTTCAAAATTTCATCTACCTCTTGCAAATTCTTCCCCACAATTATTCCGTCGTCCACGTATACAGCAAGATAGACAGTATTTGATTCATTTTTAAAAATACAACTATCGCATTTTAGTGGTTTCAGTCCAATTTTGTTGAGCCTCTTCGTCAAAGTTTGATTCCACAATAACGGTGATTGTCTTAACCCATATAAACTTCTCTGTAACTTACATATCATTCCTTCCTTCTTTGGATAACCTTCCGGAATTTGCATGAATGTTTCGTCTTTCAGTTCCCCATGAAGAAACGCTGTTTTTACATCAAAGATTCTTATTTTAAATTCTTTAGCAGCAGCAGACGATAGTAAGAAGTACTCGCAAACTTGTCATATTTACCACAGGACTATATGTTTCTTGAAAATCTATTCCTCTTTCTTGTTGAAAACCTCTTACAACTAGTCTAGCTTTCCTGGTTCCATTTTCTTTTCCTTTGAATATCCATTTGCTATTCAAAATTTTTGTGCCTTTCGCTTCTTCGGTTTTTACAAGAATCCAGGTTTTGTTTTTCGCAATAGACATTTTTTCCTCATTTATCGCTTTCTCCCAAAGCTCTTTATCTACACTTTTCATTACGTCAGTGTATGTTAACATAACGTAATCATTAAAATATGCTGGTCGTCCCAGACGAGTTCGATCTCTTAGTCCTAGAAGGCCCTTTCTGTTCAGATCTGCATTATTTCCTTCTTCAGAATCCGTGTCGTCCATGATATCAGAATTAAAATGATTTTCGTCACTGTCATTCTGATATTCTGGCAACAGCATATCATTATACGACTCGTCAGCATCATTATTACGTTCTTGTTCCAGCAAATCCAAATTAATAATTTGTGGTTCTCTAACAATCTGAGAAACATCTTCAGATGATTTTGTTTCTTTTACAAATTGCACATCTCGTGAGATTACAATTTTTTGTTTGTTTTCATCCCAGCAACGATATCCAATTGCTGAATAACCAACCAATTTCAATTTTACCGATTTTGATTCCAATTTCTTTGTACTCGGCAAAACCTTTACATACACGTCACTACCAAAAATTTGTAAATTCTTCAAATTTGGTTTAACGCCTGTCCAGGCCTCAATTGGAGTTTTACCAATTATCGCTGATGATGGTGACCTATTTGTTACATAACAAGCTACTCTTAATGCTTCATTCCAGAACGTCTTTTCAATTTCAGCGTCAAACAACAGTGCACGCATTTTTTTCGCACAATGTACGATTTAGACGTTCCGCTTTTCCATTAAGCTGTGGACTGTACGGAGTGGTCCAATTTATAACAATTCCTTTGTTCGCACACCAATCTTTTAATCGCAGAAATTCTGTACCATTATCGCATTTCAGAACTTTAACTTTCTTACCCTTTTGTGTTTCCACCTTGTTGATAAATTTCTTGACTATTTCTACCACATCCGACTTCTTTTCAAAAGGATAAACTTCACAATAATGAGTATAGTCGTCTAAAAATGAGACAAAGTACTTTTCTTTACAATACGATTCATGTTCTATTTGACACACATCCGTGTGTATAATTTCTAGTTCCTCCGAAGCTTCTGGAAGACTACCTAAGAAAGGTGTTCTTGCATGTTTCGCTTTTATGCAAACTTCACAAGAGAAATTTTTATTTTCTCTAAATTGTATGCCGTCAGCCATGCTACAAAGATTTTTCAAATTTGTACCACCAAGATGTCCCAGCTTCCTGTGCCATATTTCTTGTGTCAGTAGGACTTTGGGTTTTTCACTTTCTATGTTTACGGCGTACCAGCCTTGATTTGTTTTCCTTCCCTTAATCAAAACTTCACCATCCTTTCTTATAATAACACTATCTTTCTCAAATACTACGTCTCCGCTATTCTGTGTTAGAGGGTTGTCCCATGAATCATGAATGGTTTTCTAGTTACCTCTCTCAAAGAAAGTAGTGTGTTAGAATTGGAAACTATCTCAGCGAGGAAGGTTTATTGGAGCATGGGGTTCCTCAGGGCTCAGTCCTGAGACCGGTCTTATTCTTGATTTATATTAATGACCTTTGTGATGGGAATTTTTTAGGCAATATCACTTCCTTCGCTGATGATTTCGCTCTTACATATTCTGAATATTCACACGCAGCCCTTCAAGCTAGTATGCAATGTGACTTAGAACTACTGCGCTACTGATTCGATAAAAATTATATGGTTTTGGGTGATAAAACTAAGTACCAAATTTTTTCTCTTAAAGAAAACATGATCTTCCAAAGTCCAAAGTCAGATTAAATTGTTCTTGTTTGCAAATTGAAAATACCGAAAAAATTAAATATCTGGGGTTAATCATTAATACCAAATTATCTTGGAAGGAGCATATCAGTAAATTAAAGCAAGAAATGTTTGGTGTTCTTCTTAAGTTTTATTTCCTAAGGAACGTTTGTCCAGTAAATGTTCTAACAAATATTTATCTAACAAATATTTATCATGCTCTTGTGAGTTCTAAGTTAGGTTACGTGCTGTGCTGCTTTGGCGGTACGTATGCTTCCAATCTTTACCCTTTAACGGTTTTGCAGAAAGCCGTAATAAGGGTAATAGAAATAGTAAAATGACACATTCCTGGCCAATTTTTCAAAAGTTAAAAATTCTACATTTACGACATATGTACGTTTTCAAGGTATTGAAACTTTTTTATATTAGAAGCAGTAATAGCTTTTGCAATTTTGATAATCAGCATAATCTAAGACATACTTTACCAGCTACAGTTCCTCGTTCAAAATTAACTCTGCATCAACAATTTTATTCCTGTAATGCACAACTTTACAATCTCGTTTCTACTAAAATTGACAACAAAAGTAATCTCAATGTATTTTTATTGCAACTTAAAAAACTATTGTTGGCTACTGAAAACATTGAGGATGATTTTTTTAGTTTTGCGGTTTAGTTTTTATGTGGCTTCGTAAATAGTTCTCATGATTTTTTATGTTTTATATATGCTTTTCTTCTTTTTGGATTCTCTGACATTATTTTTAAGTTGTTTTATGATCATAGTTTACAAGTTATTTTATTCTCAGCTCAACTCAAATTGTAAAGACTGTTAGTAAATGTAATCCGTAATCTTTTCAGCTTTATTCATTAGGGTTATATTGTTTGTTTTTCTTATTATAAATGACTGGCTCTAATTCTCTTGTCGCGGGTATATAATATGCAATACGTGAGGGAAATCTCACCACGGACGTTGTCTATGGGACCCCTAAAATTTCTCAATGTGATTTATTTTCTTTTTTTATTGTAAATCATGTTATTATATTGAGGAATAAACATATATTGTTTTTTATTTTTTATTTTTTTAAAATTATAGGGACCAACGTAGAAGTTTATATCCGTCGAGTCCTCCGATACTCTACCAACTTGGTACTTTACAAAGCAGCAAAGAATCACTACGGGAGCTATGTTGAACCGACTTTGTGGTTCAATGGTAGAGCGTTGGGCTATAAATCCGGAGGTCGGGTGTTCGATTCTGGATTGAGGTGAATTTTTCATCTGTGGCAGAGATGGAAATGACCTTAAACCAGTTTCAAGCATTCTGCCGGCTACTCCGAATTAGGTTTTCCTGCAGTCTTCTTAATTCGTAAGGTAAATACCGGAGTAATATAGAACAACTTAAGACCTTCTGCAGAGGACCTCTAAAAAGCATTATGCGGGTCACTTTGTAACTGGGCGCAAGCCTGTTGAGGGGCCAGAACAAGAGAGGGATAATAAAAAAATAAATAAATAAATAAAAAGAAAAATTACGGTGAACAATATTTAAAAACCTATCCTGATCTCCGTTTCACAAAAAAACCGGCAGGTAGTTTCAGAGACAATTTCTTTTATAACTTACATTGAACGTGATCAGGCAAATGAGGTAAGTTTTTACGTTATAACCCAACTAAAACTTACTCAATAGTTATTTACATAATAAGTCATGAAAGTGGTCGTTTACATGACGCGGAGGCTTATTGAAAAGTACGAGGACGCGCAGCGTCCGAGTATCTCTTTAATGCCTCCAAGTCAGGTGGACTCACTTTCATGACGTATTAGTATAACATT